GACAATAGTGTACTGTACATTTTAGAAAAATAGAAGAAAGGATTTTGATTTTTTTCTCTATAAGGAAAATGATAAATGTCTGAGGAAGTATGTATGTTTGACCTGACATAAAAATTACTCAATGTATACATATATTGAAACATCACATTGTTCACCATTAATATGCACACTTTTATGTGTCTATGTATCACTTTAAAAATAAATTTTAATAAATCAAAGAGTTGAAATCACAATGAGATGTCATCCCACTGCAATAAGAAAGGCCATTAGCAAAAAATCACTAAAGAGACCAGGTGCTGGCAAAGATGAGGAGAAAAGGAAACACTTGCACAGGGCTGCTGGGAATGTAAAATAGTACAGTTATAATGGGGAGAAATAGAGATATTTCTCAAAGAATTAAAAACAGAACTTCCATTTGATCCAGCAATCCCACCACTGGTTTTACCTCCAAGAAGACATCTGCACATGTGTTCACTGCAGCACTATTGACAATAGCCAAGGAATAAAAATAACTACAGTCTCCATCAATTGGTGAATGGATAAAGAAAATGTAGTATGTATACACAATGAAATACTATTTGGCCACAAAAAAGGAAAAAATCCTGTCATCTGAAACAACACAGAACTGGAGATCACGATGTAAAGTGAAATATTTCAGAGAGAGACAAAGAAAAGTAACAGGTGATCTGACTTAGATGTGGAATCTAAAAATGTTGATCTTGGAGAAGTTGAGAGCAGAAAGGGGTTAGCAGACTCCAGGGAGGTTTAGGGTGGGAACGAGGAGGGACAGGATGACCGGTGGGCACTATGTTAGGGTTAGATGGAGCAAGAGTTTTTGCACAACAGTGACTGTAGACAACAACACTGTACTGTATATTTGAAAAAGCTGAAAGAAAGTCTTTGGAAAGTTTTCTCCATAAACAGTGCATGACACCCACATTCATCAAAACATTTTGGTGCCCCATTAAAATGTACATTATTTATGTTTTTATGTATCAATTAAAAAATAAAACAATAAGACAAATAAATAATTGTACCCTACTATCTCATGTTGAAGGGAGACACTGGTTTGAAACCACATTCCCCTTGTCAACATTCTTCATTATTATTAGATATTAAATATTTAAAGTTAGTTAAAATTTTAATGTTCACTTTTTAAAATCAAGTGAAGAGTCAACATTTTAGTATTTTTGTCCTAAATAGGAAATCAATTATGTGTTCATACTTATTATTTCCTTTATTAATACAGTGGTCATATTGTCTCCTTGAAGGATATATTAAGATATCACCTGAGGAGTTAATCTGTCAGTCCCTGGCAGGCCTTTGTAAGTCCGTGTACTTAAGTGCTCACTGGTTTCGAGAAACCTCAGCATATGTGCCTCCTCTGGAGGATTTCCAGGTCTTCGTTCCCTAAGTAGCCTGCTTCTGAATTGTGTCCTCTGTGGCTCTGGCACCTGCGGGTGTCAAGGCCTTGACCCCTAAGGCACTGCAGCCTTTGAAAGATGCAGGAACATCCAGCTGCCCCAAGGACCCAGCAGGCCTGAGGATTCCCAATCCCTTGTCAGTACTGAACACATAACCACCTTTAACATCTGTCTTAGTTTGTTGATTAATGTGTATCAATACATATATCTTTGTAGTAATGCAAGCTGAGGAATAATCTTAACACATTCCATGACCTAGGGAATTTGAAAATAAGGGTGCCATTTGTTCATCAATATTCTTCAGTGCCTGCCTGGCTAGAGGGTATCAATGCAAACGGGAATGTATAGGAGTGGATATAATGTGTAAAACTATAACAAGGCACAAAAACACATATCTAAAACTGTCCTCCTTTTTAAAGTCTAAATATACAGAGAGACAAGAAAGTATTTACTCCTCAATGGCCGTAAACAACCCTGTCTGCTTCATTCAGTGCTGTCTCAAACCTTTATTTCATTCAAAAGTTTAGACCACAGTCTAGGATATAATAGGTTATTGATAAATATTGCTTTATCAAATTATTCTTTTATCTAATTTTAAAAGCAAACATCTTAAAAAGCATACATTTAAAAGCATACATTCTTATGTATTTATGTGATTGCACATCTGTATATGTGCATGTATATATGTGTTTGTGTACACACTTAGGTTATATAGATATATTTTAAGGTCTTTAAATCAATGATTTTGGGGGTACAGTAAATAAGTAAAGCTTTTAAAATCTTTTCATGGGCCGGAGATTTAGCTCAGTAGTTTCACTGCCTGCTGCGCAAGCGCAATGGACCCGAGTTTGATCTCCGGCACCAAAAAAAAAAAAAAAAAAAGGCTTTTCATTTTAAGAGTCCAACAGCTACACAGATGTGTGCTTTGGTTTTGGTTTTTGTAGTCAGCGTTTAAACCCTGGTTTTGTTTTGGGTTTTTTTGCGATATTTAGAGAACCTGAAAATGTGAAGCCATGTGTTACAAAACTATGGAAGATCCAGAAGGTTAGGTGATTCCTTTCCTATAGTACAGTTGATGGATTCCAAAATAAGTATTTGATCAAAGCTGAGCCTCCCAACTGTCTGTCTGAAAGAGAGGGGGAGGATGGAGAGGGGGAGGGGAATGCTGAGGTCAGCCCTCTTAGGTGGTTTGACTGCAAGCTGAAACCCCAAGGACCTGAGGTACAGCTGTTATATCCAGCTTGCAGCTGAGGACGCAGAGCAAGCCAGTCACAGTAGCAAGGACAAAGAAGCAGATCTGCTAGGAAACAGAGAACAGAGTCTGTCTCTTTCCTGGTCCCCATTCTTGAGGTCTACATTACAGTCCCACCTCCAGCTTCAGAAGAATATCCAATAGATGCTGCTAAAGATAGATTTTTATTAATTTTAAGAAATTATAAGTTATTCAGTTCACACATACAGTACTGTCAAAAAGGAATTAAAGTCCCCATATCACAAATAAAATAAAATTTAAGAGTAGGGCTGAGGATATAGCTCAGTGGTAGAGCACATGCCTAGCATGCATGAGTCCCTGAGTTTGATCCCCAGCAATATACACAAAATGAACAAAAAACCCAGAAAAGTAAAGTAATATGAAAGTTTGAGACTGAATGAAATGGTATTCCAGAAAAAATAAATTAAGAGAATCCTCACAGCCATGCCTTAATTGCCTGAATATCAAAGCAAAGAGGAAAACAATCTATGGTATACCTATGTTTAATTGAAAATACCAAAATTCAACACAGAAAGACAAAAGTATAAATTTTCAACAGAACTCTTCATCATTTTTACAAATGAAATACTAGATAACTTAGTGTATTGTTTGCATCATATAATATTTATAACGTACCTTAATATATATACTTCAATATAGTATTCATATAGTGTTCATAACATATCTTTTTACATATACACACACTTATATATATACTCACACACCTATCACTTTATCCCTTCAATATTCCCAGAAGATCAGTGCAGGGACCCTCAGGAAATACAAAACTCCATAAATGCTCAAGTCCTTTTTATAAAATATTGTACATTGGCACACCAGGTATGCATATCCTCTTGTAAACTTTAAATCATTTCTAGATTGCTACTTCTTTCGTAGTCTATTATATTTGTTTGCTCAAAATCACTTTATTGTTTGATTGACTGACATAAATACCTGCTCTCTAATCTTGTGTTCCTCTCCATTCTGTTTAATGTAATAGGAACCATCCTGATATGTTTAATTGCATAAAATTAGGGGAGTGTGTGTTCTTACAAAATGGTAGCAATGCTATGGTTCATCATAAATGTAAAATAAATTGCAGAATACTTATTTTTGCTTACTTGGCATTATATTTGTGACACTCAAGATTTTGTCTTTGTAATTGCACGACTGCTAGTTTGTGTGGCATTCTTTCATGTGAATCTATTGCCTTTTCATATTCAATTCTCCAGTGAAGCATATTTATCACTATAAATAATATTGATATACATATATGAATATATATGTCACTTAAGTCCCTCTTTAGTTTTAGAATTTTTTGGTTATAATTATTCTGGAAATGTACTGTTAAATTTCTCTCCAGATTACCAACAGCTGTCTACAATTCCACCAGTGGTGTATTAGAATGTCTATATTTGAACATGCTCTCCCACATTTTAATAGTTCAATGACAATATCAATTCCTTAAACTTGATAAATGTACCAACATTATGTTAACATTAGGGGAAGCTGGATGAAAGGTATATAGGGACTGTCTGTACTATCTATGCAAATTTCATGTAAATTTAAAATTATTCCATAATATAAAATAACTTTTTAAATTTAAAATTATCCTTTTGTGTGTATTGCACTGGCAAAATTAGAATATTGGAAAATGCAAAATGTGGGAGAGGATGTGCAAATAGAGAACATAGATGACATCCATAAGCACACATGTACACATATACATATATATCAGTATCATTTGGTATGTATACATATGTATTACTGACATTGTTGAATGTCCTTCACTAGAGAATTGAGCGTGCAAAGTGCAATGGAGACACATGAAGAAATGCCAAGCAAAATTAAAAATAGTGGAAAAACTGTACACAAAGACACGAGTGTAACAAATGTGCTAAATAAGCAAAAAATGATATACTGAAACTTATTCTACATTTTAGATGTCATAAAAGTACTATACTCTATGCAATTAAACATATTAGAATGGTTTCCATCAATAAGCACCTTCTAATGGAGAGAAACACAAGATTAAAGAGCAAATATTCATGCCAATTAGTCAAACAATAATGTTATCTTGAGCAAACAAATGATAATGGGGCATAAAGTAAACAGCATGATTACTCAACTTATTATACCAAACATGTTTTTTAAATAGACAAAATTTAGGGTATCATAATCAAATTACTTTGCAAGTGTCCCTTGTTTTATTTATTTTTTAATTTACCTATTGTTTCAGTTACTTTTCTCTCATTGCTGAGACAAAATACCCGACATCCGAGGTTAGGGGGAGAAAGGTTTATTTGGCTCACAGTTTGTAGAGGTTTCAGTCCATGATCGGCTGGCTCCAAGGCAGTGTGGCACTGCAGACAGGCATGACAGAGAAGAAACAGTTTGTGGCAGGCAGAAGGTAGCAAAGGCAACAAGGGATGACGACAGCTCTTTCTGTCCTTTATATCTTATCCAGACTACTCAGGGCAGGTAGCGCTTTCACCCTTAATCCTAGTGCCCTTGATCCTAGTATTGCACCGTGAATCAATCCCAGCATCACACACTCTACTTCCAGCCACCTCTGAAAAAGCCCCACCTATGACTGCATGAGGCTTTGGTGGGGGGGACATCTAGACACAAGCCAGAACATCTATTTATTTATGTGTTTATTTATTCATTTATTTATTTTCATTTTAAATAATCTGAACCTGGGTACAGATAATGTACAATAGCTTTAGTTTTCACAAGAAAGGTGGTTTCAAATTAATTCAAAGGGCTTATACTTTTTAAAGTACAACTTTTATGTTACACCTAAAGTTTGGTGTATAAGTTACATTTACAATTAAGATATTTATATTTCAGGTTAAAGTGTTTTAATTATGTGTTACATTGAATAAATTCCAATTTCATTTGTATATTTCAGAGATCTAAATAAAGTAAACTGTAAAATTTACTTAGAGTTACCCATCTTTCTGCAAGAAATCTAACTCAAATTAAAATTTAATTTTGTCCCAATAGTATTTGTGCTTGCTCTCCACCTCAAAGCAACTGACTAACAGTTTATATTTTCAAGAACAGTCCTAGAACATAAATAATGGAATGCTGCCCCCAAATAGGGTTAACACCATTCTTTTTGCTGGCTAGGATAAAAGGACAATTATACATTTTCAGTCAAAAGCAGAATCTGGTTAAATAATAAATTTATGAAATTTATAAATTCTTCAGTATTTATGAACATCTGTTATGTACCAACACAAAGATATTTTTAATGAGAAAATTATTTGGGGCTTATTTATGCCCTGGAAATATAATTTTGCAAATATCTTAGTTCATCTTCAATATATTTTCCATATTAGGAAACATTCAGAGTTTAGCTATGATACAAATGCTAATTACTTCCAAAAGCACTTACTGTTGTTCTGCATTTACACATAAATTATAAACTGTAAATTCATCTAAACAAATTTCTATAAGCTTCTAAAAGTCAACATGAAATTAATATTAATTGAATTTGTTTAAAATGCTAAAAATTGTTAGTGTATTTCATATAAGATGTTAATCTGTATTATATTAGACTTTTTGTTATGTGGCATAATTTTTAAAATTTGAGTCACTTTTCTACAACATTTTATTTGCACAGGTTACCATTTCCATAATTCAACAGTAATTAATGGTTTTCATAATTAAGCTAAATACATGTAATTTAGAATTTCAACCTGTAATTATTTCTTCTAATTAGGAAATTATGATGTAGAGTGAAATAATTATGAAAGGTGATGACTTTAAATAAAATCTATCCTAAACTATTCTTTGTTTACTTAGTAGAGTATGGGATTACCAAATTATATAGCATTCTCCTCTTCCCAATTATGTATCACTGATGGAAACCAAATAACATGCATCTGCACTGACTTCCCTGGAAGTTAGGAAGAACACACTCTTTCCAAGAAGGTGAACAAGAATCAATGTCATTCTCTATTCCACTTTTCACCAGGATGAAATAGAGAAAATAAATGGGGAAATGGGTAAACATAACACTCCTTGTCGGAAAATAGCATCACAGTTTCAGGAGAGTTGTCTTCTCTGTCTGTCTGTCTGTCTGTCTCTGCCACTCTCTCTCCTCTTCCTTCTCCCCTCCCCCTCCTTCCCCCCACCCCCAGGAGTCAACATTGCCACTAAAATTCCTAGAATTAAATGCAACAACATATTATTTAGTGGGGAGGAGGAAGAGAACAATTTGCTATTAATATCTTGCCATACCTACGATTGAAGGAGCATTTCCATTTCTAGCAGTTTCCCTGCATCTGGCAACATCAGCATGGTGTGGTTCCTGTCAGGGTCACAGTACTTCACACAGCCCCGCCTGGACACACGCAAGTTCCTACACGGGCTGTCCCTTTTGCACAAAAGCTCGCCAGTTTTCATTCATGTGTAATAACAGGCCTCTCACCAGTGTGTTTGAGAATCAAGTGAGGGAGTATTTATGAAGTACTTTGGAGCTGTAAAGGGTTATAAAATGCAAGAGGTTTTTGTTATTTCATTAGCGTCTTAGCAGCCATATGATGAGATTAAGCACATTTTCAACATGCCCTCTCTTGTGGACCATTGACATTTTCCCAGTGAAAGTTTGATAAGTTGAAACATCCTTTCTTCTACACATAGCTGACCTGGGGAAATTCCTCATTCCCTTCTCTATGTTCTAGTAACATGTCATATAGTTTTCATTTTTCATCTACTCTGTTGTGAGAATGAGGTCTTCTTCACTACTTGAAGGGCAAAAGATACATATTTCATTTTTCTCCCCTGGCATTATTGAAATACTTGTTACATAGTAAACGCCCAATAAATATTTGTTGATTAAGTGAATAAATAACCAGGAAAGATGTCCTTATACAGTACAGTAATATTTCTACCTGATCTCTTACAAATTTACACATAGAGTCATCCAAAAGTCACAGAAGTAATGAGAATCAAGGTGAGATTAAAATTCTAGGTCTAAATGAAACGTATCCCCCTGCTGCACAAAATTATCTCGTTGATTTTAGAAAAAATAACTTCTTTAAGTTTTAAGTAAATAAATTTTCATAAGTATTATAGAAAATGTGACCACAACTTCACTCTTATAAATAAAATTACAAATAAAAGGCTTTAGAGAAAATAAACACACACATCACACTCACCCATATCAGTTTTACTTTACCTTTAAAGCAATTAATAAGAGATGTTGTTACTGTATTTATTCTTTCCAGCACCTCTATCCTTGAGAAATCTACAGTGGCACAGGAGTACTGGGGATGGACATGAATGTGATTGTGAGTCAAAATGTTAATGTATTACTGTCTGCAAGACGCAAAGCAGATCCGAGAATCTGGGGTTATGGAAACTGTTCATGGAGATCAGATGATTACATGACAGGAGGTTCACCCAGCTTGAAGAGTCTTTGAAAGCATCTGTAGTCTCCTTTTAAAACGTGTTTTTAAAATCTGGTCTTTGACATTTGATTGCCATTGATTCGAACATAATTTAGTTCAATCTGCTGAAGAGTCATTTTTTAATCTCTTCCTTGCCTTAATCTCTTCCTATTTCCTTCAGAGTTTGTAGAAGAGAAACAGCAGATCATATATTAACTAAAGAAAATCTTCTACCAACAGAATTTCTATAAGGAAATTTTCCAGGTTTTTTCCCAAAATTTTGATGATATTTACCTGAGCAAAACTTTTAAATTGTGTTCCTCTATTACCGTATTCAGAAAAATCAAATGTATAGGCAGTTATGTCTCAATGATATTGTTTCAATGCTATATTCTCAGTGAGGTTCCATGCTGTAACCACTGTTGTTCTCCAATATCAAAGCCCAAAATTGCTGAATTAGGAAAAACAGAGTGAAATTTGTGACATACTACCTTTGAATTTTTGCAAAATTAACAAGTTGCAATAGTAACAGATAAAAATAATAGTCAACATTCTTTTGTTTCAATAGTTACACAAAAGTTGTTAGTCTGGTGAAATTGCCAAACAAAAATTTGTTTTATCAACTAATTCAGGAGTTTATATTCAAAATAATTCCTCTGGGATTTATAATGGCTAAACCTCCATTTAGCAGACTGCTATCTTAAACACTTCAGGAGGAAAGGAGACAGGGTCTGATGAATTGTCCCTCCTCATGGTTCACAGAAATTGCTGTTAGCTGATAAACTGATATAAATATATACTGGCCTAAACATTGAAGATAATACTGCTGACTTAGGTGGATTTTGCAAGACATCAGTTCTCAGAATTGCTTTGAAGGTTAAGGGTAGAATCAAGAAAATTTATAACTAAAAAGAATTCTGTGAGATGCTGCACGAACATTGACATTTGACCTTTTAGAAGTTGCAAGTAAAATTTTCTTTCATGGCTGCCTTTGATTTTACTTCATAATTAGAAACATACATGTGATAAAAATGAACTAAAGGAACTATTATAGCTTTAAACACATTAGAATGTCATTTGACCAGGTTTTCTGGTAAGAGGATAATGTCTTACAAAGAACAATCTATTCTAAACCTCAAATTCCTTAAAGAGGAGGTTCATGCCTTATCTTCGTATTCTTTACAATATCTAGTAGAGAGTCAGGAATACTGCAGGCAGTTATTGAGTATCTGATGGTCTCAATCAAGTCTCCATTGAGAGTATAGTATATAAGAATGTAATATATGATATTGAGTCCCAAGAGGAAGAGAAGTCCAAAGTACTACACTTATAAAGCCTATTTGGGAAACCAAGCTCAAAAATATTCGACTGTTAGATGACAATAATGAATCTGTGCCACTAAAACAAAAAATACTATGCAAGTTATCTTCTAACTTTAATAACCCTAACATTAAAATAAGAAAAGTACCATTCTGTGGTTTACATCTGATGCCTCATGTACTCAGACACCTTGTGGAAAGCAATTTATTGATTATGGGGCCCTACAGCTGGCTTGGCACTGGGAGGTTGCCCTGGTCAGAAGGAGCAGGTCCCTAGCAGCGTGACCCGGACATGCGTCTCCCTCTCTGGCTCCCAACTTTTTCTCGACTCCCTGGTGAGACGGAGGTGAGCAGCCCCCCTCTGCCACACAGCCTTGCTTTGCAGCCAGCCAACCATGGACTAAAACCTCTACAAACTGTGAGCTAAAATAAGTCTTTCATCCTTCAAGTTTAGGGTTTTTGGCTATTTTGTCCCAGTGAGGAGGAAAGTGTCTGAGAAGTACTACAAGTAGTCATGTAAATATAACAAAAAGAAGGAAAAAAACCCCATGCATCTGGAAGCTAGCTTATCAAAACTCTAGAATTGGAAAATTTTGCTGGTATGAAAGATGAACATCACAGTTTGTAATAGCTGAAGCTTGGAAACAGCCCAAGTGCCCACCAACTGGAAACTAGATAAAGAAGATATATATATATATAATGGAGTACTACTGAGCCATAAAGAATGAAAAACTAGAGACATTTATAACTAAATAGATGCATATTGAGGCTATACTCTTAAGTGAAATAAATAGGACACACGTATGTAAATACCGAATAGTTTCTTTGGTGTGAGAAACTGAAAGTATAAATAAGGATTAAAATGATTAAAATGAATAATTGATAATTTGAAATAGGAAGAAAATGTTTAAAGGGGTAGGGGAAGTGGGAGGGGAAGGGGAAAGGAAAGAAGGGAAAAGAAAAATTATGAGAAAAGGAAAAAATGGAAACAAAGTCTTTGTAAATAGGTAAGGGTGGAGGGGATGAAGGGAGGACAGGGAATAGGGAAAAAATGAGAGCTAAGATGCATCATGTAAAGATACAAGATCCCAACGGTGAATGTAAATGTATTGTATACCTAAAATGTACCAATAAATGAATTTAAAGGGTGAAAAAAAGGAAGATGTGCATCAGAACTTTAGAGGAGAGACCAATAAAAAGTGATGTGGTTTTCTTTTTTTGTATAGAAATGGCATTTAAAGGGCCTGTAGGCTTCAGAAGACACAGAGAGATGAGTTTGGCTACTTGAAAGAGAGAAGAAACAATATTGATAAAGAGCAACAGAAGAATTACAAGAAAACTAGCTGCCCCTAGGGCTTACCTTAAAAATATCACACAAAGGAGGACAAATAAGTAAGTTGAGGTTAGGATGAGAAGATAGGAAAACATGGAGCTTATTTCTTTGGCAAATGGAAATCACTTAAATATTTTGATCACATATGGAAAAAACAGAAAATTAACCTTAAGTTTAATCTATATATGAAAAATAATTGCATTTATTCTCTGTGATTAAAAACAGATCTAGGATCAATGAATAGAAATCATAGAAGAAGGGATTTCACTCAAAGGAAAAATATACAATGATTTGTTTTCATTGAACATGTCGAGAACAGGGGTTCCCAGTACTCATGAAGACATGCAAGTATTACCAGGTATATAAAAAGGTGCTTATCACTAATTGTCAGGGCAATTCAGGTAAAAAAATCACAATGGAAAAAAATCACAATGAGACATAACATTGCATCTGTTAGGATGGCTACTATCAAGAAGAGGAAGGAAGAGGAAGAGGGGACAACTAGTGTTCATGAGGATTTGGAGATTAGGAAATTATTATTCACAGTTGGATGAAATGTACATTGGAAAACCCATATTGGATAACATGGAAATCCCTCAAAATGTTAAAAATGAGCTACCATGTGATCCAGCTATCCAACTTCAGGGCATATAGCTTCCTAACTACTTAAGCATTATGAATTATTTGGGAAAAACTGGCCTCTGACCTGCTTTTTCACCTACATAAAGTAATAATAGTTCAATGGTAAAATTAAAGGCATTTTGGAAAAAAAGGAATAGAAATACAGATAATGGCAAAAGAAGTCCTTGAGTCTAAAGAAACAAATGTTGCTTCTATGAAAAATATAATAAAAGTAAAGAAAATGTCACCAGTAGAGTAGTATTTGGCTGTTTAAAGCCTTTTCCCATGCTGTGCTTAAGGAGTCTGAAGCATGGGTTGGAATCTCACCATCTTTTAGAGCTAAATCACTTAGCATGTGGTCTCTTTTTCTTTGGAAGCTTTGTCATACTTGTCTATCCATCTCTTGCAACAGCATATATTAGAAGTTAAGCAAATGAAACCTAGAAGAATTAATATTGCTAGGATTCATATTCTGGCTCTGCTAAGTTATGTGACATTGATCAAGATAATTTGTTTTTCAGAGTTTCTATTTCCCATACACAAAAAAGAAAACCTATAGTATCTACTTCATAGGAAACTTCAGAATAAACTAAATTGAAGAAAATAATTCTTATAAGTACTTAGTACATTCTAAATGCTCAATATATGTTAGCATTTATTATTAGACCATATAATAGATTCATTACCATCATCCTTTCAAAATATGTCATGGCTTATTATGTGATATCAAAAGTCCTACCTTATTTAAGAAACTTGCCTCTTCTTCAGCAATTGTCCAGCTTCAGGGCCAAATTACATGTGGCATGAGGTAAGTGGATACAACTTTAAGTCATAACAAAGTGATAAATCATAACAATATATTTGCCAGTTATCTTTGGCTATTATTTTTCAAATAGTGTTAGTTTTCATGGACAGGAGTTCAAAACAAATTCTTTGCAGAATGGCTGTCTAATTCACTTGTCACCCTTGTATCACCTAGCACAGACTTTGGTATGTAGATGGTTTCAACACATAAATGCTAAGTTTAGATAAACACATCTCCTGATAGAGCAGCATCCAAAAACCATAGCAATAAATACATTTTTGAACAATAAATTATGTCTATATTACTTTTTCTACACTCATAGGTCTTTTAATGCATTAACCTCCCCATATTATCAACATTTCCTTTCTTTTCTCATTATTTCATTCATCAAGTTTCTATTAAGCATAAATTGTCTTTTAAATGTTGTCGTCTTAGGATCCTAAAAATATAGATGAAATCATTGTCTAGAGCTTTAAACATTCTGCAGCATTAGAACACCTGGTAGCTTGTTAAAAATATAGACTCTCAGGCTGTAACCCCTGAATCAGAGCTTGCATTTTAACAAGGTCCCCAGGTGTTCCATTACACAGTCAAGGGAAGCACTGGGCTCCACATAATTACTGTGTTTATAAAAATACAGATGTCTGCAACAATGTGGAGAGCCAATAATATTGAACATCTTAACCCATTAAACAAGTCCAGTAATTTGAGAGATACCTTTTTGAATATATGCTTGAACTTTTATAGAAGTACCATTTGATATTACTACAGAATACATTTTAATGCTGTGACAACTATAGTTCTAAATCA